AGTTTAAGAAAATTGAAATCATATCAAGTGTCTTCTCAGACATTTACACTATGTAGCTATAAAAAAGGATCCCTTACCCTTTGAGACAACATGGTAGGACCTGGAGAGTATTATGCTAAGTGAAATAAGCCAGTCAGAGAAAGACAATTGTCACATGATCTTACTCATTTGTGCAATGTAATGAACAAAATAAACTGATGAACAAAATAGATCCAGAGACATGGAAGCATGGAACAGACTGACGAATCTCAGAGGGAAGGCAGGGGTGAGTGGGCAGGTGGGGAAAGGTTAACCTAAGGACTTATATGCATAACCCGTGGACACAAACAATAGTGTGGTGAAGGCCTGGAGGAGGGTGGGCAGGGTAGAGAGCTCAAGGGGGGGGGGAGAGGGGGACATTTGTAATACTTTCAACAATAAAGATAAATTTTTAAAAAGCCAAGCAGAGCAACTTCAGATAACTTGCCTTATTTTTAAATTAACTATTGATGTTGCTTCCAGTGATGTCAACTCTTTGAGAAATTGTCCTTGCTGAAGGAGTAGTCTTTAAACAGTTTTTTTCCTCTCTGGGCACATTTCTTTAAGTGCTGTAATTAACCATGGTTTAATTAATTCTGTATTGGTAAACAGATTTTCCTGCTTGGCTAGTAAATAAACCACTTAGAAACTTATTTTGGTTATAGTCTCATTTTCATTTTATTTACTTGTTTGTTTTAATTTTTACTCCATATGGGAGGGAGGGAGAGAAAGAAATATCCATGTGAGAGAGAAACATCGATCAGTTGCCTCCTGTACATGCCCTGACCCGGGATCAAATCCGCAGCCTAGGTCTGTGCCCTGGGAATCAAACCTGCAACCTTACGGAGTATGGAACTATGCTCCAACCACCTGAGCCACCCAACCAGGGCTATTTTTTTTTTTTTTTTTTGAGGCAATTTTACTATGGCGAGAAGTTCCATTTAAAAACTTAAAATTTTTCTGACCATTGCTTTCTTGCAATTGAGAACATTGTGATGAGTCCTTAATCTGGTAATGTCCAAATAGGTTGTTTTTCTTTACCATAGCTACAGTGTCATTGCATAATAAACACAATGCTTTGATGTTTAATTGATAGCAAAATGAGTCACTCTCTACTGTGCCTTAAAACTGGAGCATTCAAAGTCCACTGTTGTTTTGACATGTTGGATATATACTGGTAATTAAAAAAAGCCACTGTACAGTGATACACATGGCACCCAAAATTCTGTTGAATTATGACAATGCCACTGTGATTTGTAGTGTATGAGAGCCACAGTGCAAAGCAATGAGAGCCACATACAATTCTGCTGCAGTTACTCAACCCTGCCGTTGTAGTGCAAAGTCAGCCACATGCATATGTGATCAAGTGAATGTGGCTGTGTTCCAGTGAAACTATCTATGGACACAAATTAGAATTTCATATAATTTTTACGTTATGAAATATTTTGAGTGTTTTTCAACTCTTTAAAATTGTAAAACCACTCTTTACTCCTGGGGCTTACAAAAATAAGTGGTAGACTGAATTTGGCCTATGGCTATCAGTTGCTGACTCCTGCTCTAAGAAGAAACAGAGAACTGGGTGCTTATTTGATTCATTCCGTACAAAATCTGGTATCAGTCATTTTTAGTCTCACATCTTTTCAGTTAATCATGTCACCTTCCTGCTTTTTTAAGAGGGACAAAATAGGAGGAGGCATTTTAAGACCTAATTAATTAGTAACTTTTCTGTGAAAGCCATGAGGACTTGGCTTCATGATGAACAATATTCATGCTGAAATTAATATTACATTTGCTCATCTCTTATTCTTTAATCATATTATTAGATTAAAAGATTAAGAAAAAGTTAAGTATAAGCTTTCAAGGAAATATTGAGGGAATTTGTATTCTCATGTGAATTCCCTATGTGCATGTATTAAAATTTGATTTTCTCCTGGTAAAAAAAATATTTAGAAATTCAAGAAAATATTTAAAATATTTAAATATAATGAAGAATATTAATATAAAGAAGAATATTAATTATAAAGAAGAATATTTTGGATTAAATTTATAAATTATGTTATCCTAGTGTAGTTGTATTTTTCCAATTAGAAAAAAATTGTGATTGATTTCTAACGGATCTCATGAATCTATACTTTGTGAGGGGAAACAAAACCAATAATGTGATTATTTTTAAAAATTAGGTAAATTTAAAAGTGTTTTTAATTCTCTAAAATGTATCCAGTGAATTATTTATCATAATTGTACTTTTTTACATACACACACACACACACACTTATAGGGAAACAGTAAAGGACCAGTTTTAATTTTTTTTAATTTTTAAATTATTTTTTAGGGAGGTTGAGTCATAAACCTCTTTCAAAATTCAACATGGGTAGTTGAAGTTAAAATGCCACAGGATATAATAGAGAAGTACTTCAAGTGTTACAAGGTAATCAAGGATTGAGTATATTGAGTTGTTCCTTCCAACTCTAAGGGTAAACTGGCAGAAATCTTCACTCAGCCCTCCGTTTCAGGTATAGTTAACCCCAGACAAGAGCCTTTACATACTATAAGTTCTGTTCCATTTTTGGGTACAGAAGCAGAATACAGTAAGGTCTGTTTGGTTCCTGGGGAAGCAACAGGAAGTAGTATAAAGAGAATTTTGAACCAGACAGATGGGGGATTTGAATCTTAGGTCCACCATTTATTAGTTCTCTGGTCTTCAACAAAATTACTTAACCTCTCTCAACTGCAATTTTATTTATAAAATGTATTATATCATATAATTTTTGCGAAGATTAGAAATAATATATGGAAAGTACCTGCAGAGTAGGCATTTAGTGAATGGTAACAATGTTAATTTAGTGTTGTGCCTTTTGTGTAAATTTTTATACTGTAGTAGGCATCTACAACAGTATACAGGTAGAAGTAATGGTCACGAGGCACACACTAGGGACTGAATTGGTTATGGGGTCAATTCCTGCCATTCTTCCTTCTAATAGTCATGCCTGCTGTGCATGTAATCAACCCTTAATTCAAAATGTCATCTCTTTCATCATATAAAGTTTACGAATGGGGTGATTCACCCTCTACTTGGCCTTTGTGTGGTGGTAGTATGTGCTTCAGAAGTGTTATGGAATATGCCTTATCAAGGCTATCCTAAATCGTTTCCATTCGTACAACCATATAGAACAGGAAATCTTATTAATGCTCATATTCTTTAGATACATTAATTTTCCTATAAATAAGCCAGTCACAGCGACTAACACATTCTTTTTCTGCTCTATTTAAAATTTTAGTCATTCTTCAAATTGCTGAGCTTGTGTTTTTTTCAAACTCTTATTGTTTTAATTTTCTCATTGCTGAAAAAGTTTAATTTCGCCCTGGCTGGCGTGGCTCAGTTGGTTGGAGCGTCGTCCTGCACACCAGAAGGTTGTGGGTTTGATTCCGTCAGGGCACATACCTAGGTTGTGGGTTTGATCCCCGGTCAAGGTGCCTAGAAGAGGCAACTGATCCATGTTTCTCTCTCACATCGATGTTTCCCTCTCCCTCTCTCTCTCCCCTCTCTTCGTCTCTCTCCTCAAGTCAATAAAAACATATCCTCGAATGAGAATTAAAAAAAAAAAAAGCTGAATTTCAATAGTGTTTGTGTTCAGTCCAACAAACATTTTTTGAATATGTGCCAGGTGCTAAGACTAGGAAAACAAAAAAGCCTAATAACTGCTTTCAATTTATACATATGGTGGTGGAATAAAAGGGAAAGATAGACATGTAAGTATAAATATGAAGATGGTGTGATAGGTGCCATTGCATTATGCAGTCAGAGAAGGACTGCAAATAATAATTATGTTAAGATATGAACAAGTGCCATGATAATTAATAATTGAAATGTTTTACATGTTTAATAATTTGTGTCATGACTTTCCTGGAGTGTCGTTTTGTTTTGTTTTAATATATTGATTTCAGAGAAAGGAAGGGAGAGGGAGAGAGAGAAATAGAAACATCAATGATGAGAGAGTCATTGATCAGCTGCCTCTGACTGGGGCCTGAGCCTGCAGCCTGGGCATGTGCCCTGACCGGGAGTTGAACCGTGATCTCCTGGATCCTAGGTTGATGCTCAACCGCTGAGCCACGCCCGGCCGGACTGGGGTGTCTCTTTTCACTTAAAATCCATGCTCTTCTAGGTGGTTACATTTCTTTCTTTCTTTCTTTCTTTTTTAATATATCTTTATTGATTTCAGAGAGAGGAAAGGAGAGGGAGAGAGAGAGATAGAAACATCAATGATGAGAGAGTCATTGATCAAGCCTGGGCATGTGCCCTGACTGGGAATCGAACCCCGATCGCCTGGATCCCAGGTCGACGCTCAACCGCTGAGCCATGCCCAGCTGGGCTAGGTGGTTACATTTCTAAACACACTGAGAAAAATCTTAAGAACAGAAAATGTTCTGATGACAACTGTGTATGAGTTCTTTTTTTTTTTTTTAGTGAGGATACTCTCAGGATGAATAAAAATCAGGACTTCTGTGTCAATATTTTTTTCATTCTGGTTAATGGAAATTTGATCAGCTTGTGGTCTAGGTTTTCACAGTTTTCAGCCTTGCTGATAAAATGAAATCAGATCATTCTTGTGGATTTTGCTAAGGATAATAATAGATATCCTAATCTCAATCTTACAATTATTTTTTTTAAATGCTGTATTCATATTTACTTCTGGATATCTTTGGGAATGATATAGCCAAAAAGATCTTCACTTATGGTATACTGACTTCAGAAAAGCTCAGCTGTACTAGAATTTTCAGTAATGCTAGATTATGATATTTACTTCTATTTATTATTTTCTCCTAAAAATATATATTTAAAATACACTTGCCTTGAATTTACATTAACAAGATGGATTTATTGTTTTATCATTAGCAGCGTCTTAGTTTCTATTGCAAGTAGAGTATTTTTAGTCACTGGGCCTGCGTCAGGCACATAACAACAGGAATTATTTTCTTTGCAGTGGTGGTTCGGGGTATAATTTGTACACTGATGAGGATGAAGAAGCTGAGCCTTCTCCTTCTGGGCAGCAGATCATTGAAAACTCAATAACCATGAATAAGATGAAGCTGCTGAAGGCTAAGATGGAGAACATGAATCTCAGCAAAAAGGTGAAGCTGTCGGCACTTGGCCAGGCCTTTCTCTAGTATTGATGTTTGCTGGTAATTGTGAAAAAATTATTTATAAAATATTATTTATCTCAAGTTTTTGGCCTCAGTAATTTATTGAGATATTAAAAGTGATGAATTGATTTTATAGACTAGCAACAAATCTAAAGTATTATACTGCACTTAAAATAATTTGTGATTTTTGCCCTGGCTGGCCATGGCTCAGTGGTTAGAGTGTCGGCCTGTGCACCAAAGGGTTGCAGGTTTGATTCCTGGTCAAGGACATGTACCTGGGTTGCAGGTTTGATCCCCGGCCCCGGTGGGGCACATAGGGGTGGCAACCAATTGATGTGGCTCTCTCACATCGATGTTTCTCTCTCTCTCCCCTCTCTCTTTCTCTCCCTCCCCCCACACTCTCTCTGGAAATCAATGGAAAAAATATCCTCAGGTGAGAATTTAAAAACTTAAAAAAAAAAAAGGGAAAAAAATTTGTGATTTAAAAAATTTCATAGTTCTAAGTGCTAAGGATAATAATAGATATCTTAACCTCAATCTTACAATTATTTTTTTAAATGTTGTATTCATATTTACTTATTATGGATATCTTTGCCTGGCTGTTGACAAGGAATATGCTTATGTTCAGCTTCACAAGGTATTGTCAGTTTTCCAATGTCCTAACAAAGTAATTGAACCGATTTACATTCTGTCCAGTAATGAGACTTGCAGTTTTCATGTGTTCTTACCAGAGTTTGGTATGGTCGAGGTTTTTGTTGTTGTTTTGTCGTTCTGGTTGATGTGTAGAGTCCTCATATTGCAGTTTTAATAAATTCCTTTCTCTGACTAATGATGTTGAGCACCCTTCATATGTTTATTGGGTATTTGGATATCCTTTTTTGTAAAATGCCTTTTCAAATATTACCCATTTTTTATTGAGTTGTATCTTTCTTGCTTATTGATTTTTTTGAGATTTTTATATATTCCTTTGTCTCACATATATAATATATGTATATACATATAACATATATATCACTCCTCCATTACTTTGTTCTATTAATAGCTTATCCCCTTTTCTTTATTGAAATCTTATATGTATGTATAATAAAATTCATAGGTCTTTAATGTACAGCTTGATGAATTTTTACAGTAATATATACTCATGTGGAAACAAGCCAAATGAAAATGGACCTGTCTCCAGTTTTCCTTATAACCTTTCCTAGTCAATACCTATCTTTTCTATTCCCCAAACTAACTACTGTTCTTATATTTTTGACCATAAATTAGTTTTGCCTCTTTTTGAGCTTTGTATAAATGAAGTTATATATTCTCTCCTTTTTTGGTCTGGCTTCTTTTGCTCAGCATAATAGTTTTGAACCTCGTGTTGTATTATCAGTTCATTCTTTTTTCTGCTGTGTGACTGTCCTTCAGTCTGTTTCTTCTCCTTTTAATGGGCATTTGTGCTGTTTCTAGTTTTTGCCTTTCAACAATACAGCTGCTTTGAACATTCTTATACATGTCTTTGATGGACATACACAGCCTTCTTTGGGGGCATGTACCCAGGAGTTCTCTTGTAGAGTCATAGGGTAGGTGTATATGTAGCTTTAGTCTCTGTGTCAAACCAACTTTGTCAAGCGCTTGAACCAGCTGATACTCCCATCTGCAACACTGAAGTTCCAGTTTGTGCCACATCCTCCTCAACAACTGATAGTCAGTCTTTCATCTTAACCATTCTGGTGGGTGTGTAGTGGTTTTCATTTTCATTTCTCTGATGAGAAATAATGTTAAGTTTTTCATATGCTTATTGGCCATTAAGATACTAACTTTTGTACCAACTTTTTTTATATCATATATTTACATGCATCAGATTTTTTAAAAATTCTTGACTTGTTAACGCCTGGTTGTCTTTTGCTCATTTTTTAATTGGGTCATCTGCCTTTTGCTTACTGTTTTTTATAGGCATTTTGATACTATGGATACAAGTTTGTTTTTTGTATTTCAGAAATGTGATTTATACGCAGCTTGCTCTTCCACTTTCTTATTCTTTTAATAGATATTTTTTATTTTAATGTGTGCTAACTTAACAGTTTTTCTTTTATGATTACCAATTTTTATAGTCTTTTAATGAAGTCTTTACGTACCACAAGGTCTTGAAGACACACCCTCTGTTTTTCTCTAAAAACTCTATGGTTGTTCCTTTTTTCACTTAGATTTATAATCCACTTGAAACAAAATCATTTTAAAATATAATATTAAATAGGGTGAAGATCATTTTCTCCACAGTCTTAGATGTTTTTGTACCTAACAACTGAACTTCAAAATATATGAATCAAAAGCTACAAAGATAGACAAATTCATAGTTATATTAGAAGATTTTTACACTTCCACTCTCGAAAAATGTATAGAAAAGATAAGTAGTTAGAAAGGACATAAAAAGGCTTGGACAATACTCTTAACCTCCTTGTCCCAATTGACATGTATAGAACTCTCTACCTAATGACAGTAGAAAACACATTTTTAAAAAGTGCACTTGGAACATTTACTAAGATAAATCGTATTATGTGCTAGCAAATAAGTCCCAATAAATTTGAAAAGATTCAAATCATACAAAAAAATTTTTTTACTTTATTTTTATTGTTGACACTATTACAAATGTCTCCCATTTTCTTTTGCCCACCTCCACCCGGCCGCTGCCACGCCTTCCCCCTGGCCTTCACCACACTGTTGTCTGTGGGTTATGCATATATGTTCTTTGGCTAATTTCTTCCTCCTCTTTCATGCAATCCTCCCTCCTCCCTCCTCTCTGATAGCTGTCAGTCTGTTCTATGTATCCAGGCCTCTGTTTCTGTTTTGTTCATCAGTTTATTTTGTTCATTAGATTCCACATATAAGCGAGATCATATGGTATTTGTCTTTCTCTGACTTGCTTATTTCACTCAGCAAAATCCTCTCTTATTACAATAAAATAAAATTAGGAAATAAAGATATCTGGAAAGTCTAATATTTTGGAATAGCAGACTTACAAGCAACAGGTCAAAGAAGAAATCCAAAAGTATGAAATCATTCTTATATTCTTAGAATGAACCACTCTTCTAGCATTTTTCTTTTTATGTCTTTAGATTTAATTTGCTAATACTTTATTTAGGATTTTTGTTCATCATCTGTAATTTTCATCTTTTCCCAACATACAGCAAAGTTGAAAGAATTTTAGAGTGAAAATCTGTTTATCTACAACCTAGATTCTATAATTAACACTTTTAAAAACATTAATTTTTAATTGTGGTAAAGTACACATAAAATTTACTTTCTTAATAATTTTTAAGTGTACATGCCGTTCGGTAGTGTTAAGTACATTCACACTGTTGCACAACCAATCTCCAGAACTTCTTCATCTTGCAGACTGAAACTATTCATTAAACAACTTCCTATTTCCCTACTCCCCCCATCCTCTGGCTACCACAGTTCTGTTTCTATGAATTTGACTTTCTAGATACCTCATTTAGTGGAATCATATGGTACTTGTTTTTTGTGGGTTTTTTTGTGACTGACATTTCATTCAGCAATGTCCTCAAGGTTCATCCATGTTGTAGTATATGTTACAATTTCCATACTTTTTTAGGTTGAGTATTCTATTGTATGTATATACTACATTTTACTTATCAGTGCATGTGTTGATAGTGTTGCTTCCTCCTTTTGGCTGCTGTGAATAATGCTATGAACATGGGTATACAGATATCTCTTTGAGATCTCACTTTCACTTCTTTTGGATATATACCCAGAATTTCAGGATCATGTGGAAATTGTATTTTTAACTTTTTGAGGAACTGCCATTGTTTTCCAAAGCAGTTGTACCTTCTTACAATCTTACCAATGGTGTACAGGGGTTCCAATTTCTTTGTATCCTCACCAACACTTCTTTTTTTGTTATTTTAGTAGCCATCCTAATCGGTGTGAGTTGATATCTCATTGTAGTTTTGACTTGCATTCTTCTAATGATTAATTATGTTGAGCATCTTTTCATGTGCTAGTTGGCCATTTGAATATCTTCTTTGGAGAAATGTCTATTTAAGTCTTTTGCCCATTTTTGAATTGGGTTATGTGTTTTTATTGTTAAGATTTAAGAGTTCTTTATATATTCTGGATATTAACCTCTTATGAAACATGATTTGCAAATAATTTTTTCTATTTTTTGGGTTGTCTTTTTACTCTGATGGTAGTGTCTTTTGATGCACAAAACTTTCAAATTTTGATATAGTGGAATTTATTTTTACTTTTGTTGCCCATTTTTTTTGGTGTCAAATCTAAGAAATTATTGCTGAATCCAATGTCATGAAGCTTTTCCTCCTATCTTTTTTTTTTTTTAAATATATTTTTATTGATTTCAGAAAGAGGGAGAGGGAGAGAGAGAGATAGAAACATCAATGATGAGAGAGTCACTGATCGGCTGCAGCCCGCAACCCGGGCATGTGCCCTGACCGGGAATCGAACCCCGATCTCCTGGATCCTAGGTCGACGCTCAACTGCTGAGCCATGCCCAGCTGGGCCTTTCTATCTTTTTTAAAAATACTCATCCAAGGCCATGCTTTTATTGATTTTAGAGAGAGGGGAAGGGAGAGGGAGAAGGGGGAGAGAGAGAGAGAGAGAGAGAAGGAGAGACGCATTGATGTGAGAGTGAAATGTTGATTGTTTGGCTCCCACATGCACCCCAGCTGGGGATCAAACTCACAACCTGGGTATGTGCCGCAACTGGGAATCGAACCTGGGAACTTTTGGTGTACTGGATGATGCTCTAACCTACTGAGCCACACTGGCCAGGGCTCCTCCTATGTTTTCTTCTAAGAGCTTTACAGTTTTAGGTCTTACATTTAGCTCTTTGATACATTTTAAGTTAATTTTTGATTTTGGTGTAAGCATTCCAACTTCCTCTTTTGTATGGGGATATCCAATTTCTTTTTGTTAAAGAAGCTGTCTTTTCCCCATTGAATGGTCTTGGCACCTTGTTGGAAATC